CAATCAATCAATCAATCAATCAATCAATCAATCAATCAATCAATCAATCAATCAATAGAAAATACAAGTCACATTTCTCATCACCTTTTGCAGAGCACCAACCACTGGAAACACCAGCAAGTTCTTTGTCCTTGAGGCTGGTGAATGGAGCGAACAGGTGCCAGGGCAGAGTTGAGGTCTACTACAACGGGAGCTGGGGCACAGTCTGTGATGATGCTTGGGACTTATATGATGCTCAGGTCGTCTGCAGACAGCTTGGCTGTGGAGAAGCCATTAAAGTAGCAATAAATGCCCAGTTTGATGAAGGCTCTGGCAGCATCTTCATGGATGACATACAATGCCAAGGGCAAGAAAGATCCCTTGAAGAATGCTCCCACCCAGGTTGGGGAGTCCATAATTGTCAACACAAGGAAGACGCCGGTGTAATCTGTGCAGGTACTTCTATGTTTTTATGTGAATGGCAAGTATATATATTAAAATGTATCTTATATTTTTTTATTGTAGTCTGTGCTGAGGATTTATCTTTTGCTTTTTCTGATTGTTTTTTCTTTCTTTTTTTAAATTAGAAATGTTTCCAACCACTACGGAGAATCCTGCTTCCTCTGGTAAGCGTACTGTGATGTGAGTTTTCCATGCAACTTTTTTCACAGGACATCAATTTGTGACTTTATTTTAAGACTGCCCATAAATTAAATAGTTTCCTGCTTCTAATACTGTTAAATCAATTTTTGTTACTTCTTGTAGCATTAACTTCTCCAATTCTCATTGCCTCCCCTTACCCCAGAATGACGCGAGACAAGTATTGTGGTATAGACATGGGCCACACTTTATTGAATAATCGATATTGCCCACCATAAAAGGGGGGTCCTGCCGTAGTGCAGAATCAGGTTTTGCACAGAGGTCTCAATGGACCCCTTACCAAACAAATGGCCAAGTCCCTAGTCCCAGGTTCTTGCAGTCATTAAGAAAGCAAGAACCCGGCCAGCCCAAATTTGACCACCCCTGAACTTCGAGCCACCTTCTCCTAATTGACTGTTGGTCCGGGTGTGGCCCCAGTGTATCTCCCCCCCCCCAAGCATTGTACTAACATGATCAGCAGCGCCGGGAGGTCAGATGAGCTACATATTACCTGTAATTGCAATGGGACTCACAGAAACCTTTTCTATCCACACTACCTGCCTGCGTGACTGGATATTTCCACCTCTCAAAATGCCATCACACCCTCACCAGTGTGAGATAGGTGAAAAATCCCCGCATCCAGGAGCGATATGAGTAAAAAATTCCTATCCGGCACCAAAAGGAGACCATGTAAACTCACACTAGTACATAGGGAGGGCAGGTAGGTAGCCAGCAAGAAAGAGGATGGAGGAAGGGGGGAACACCACTTAAATAGCTCACTCCTTCCCCCTTCCCTTCCTGGGTCACTCTCGTGAGTCTCCCAGCATCACGCAATATCCAGGGAAGGAGACAATGACAACCCGCGCTGGCGAAGCATGGCTCAGCAGTGGATCGAGCAATGTCTTTATATTTGTCTCATTGTGAAATGGATTTATTTTTGCCTAGAAGCATGCTCCTTTTCATTTTCCTTATGTTGGCAAGATTACCTTTTTTTAAACAAAAATTTACCCTTGCTTGTACTTATGAGATCTCATGTACGCATTTTGTCTGAGCAAGTTGAAATAATCTTCCCATTTTGTAAGGAATTGGACTTTCCTTAGGTGGCAACTCATGTTACTGAAAACATGCAAATCAGAAGATTTGGTAAAAGAGCTTTCGGTCCATATGCTTTGCAGGGTAAACCACAAATTACTCTGAGTGTCACCAAAGAGTCTACACTGTGATCCTCATTTTACAAAGTTTCAGGGAATATTTGACTCTGTTCTCCAATGGAAAGTTTTGATTGTTAAATTCTCATCAGATTTTGAATATCCAGTGCAATATCTTAATTTCTTACATTATCTTTTTAATCATTCTAATTTAGAAATTCCTGTACTGTCTACGAAGAACAGTGTTACGACAGGTTAGTACTGCTGTCCCCTTTCAACTACTTCTACAGTTTTTCTTACCGGGAGTCAGTAATAGAAACAAATAGAAAATACAAGTCACATTTTTCATCACCTTTTGCAGAGCACCAGCCATTGGGAACACCAGCAAGTTCTTTGCCCTTGAGGCTGGTGAATGGAAACAATAGGTGCCAGGGCAGAGTTGAGGTCTACTACAACGGGAGCTGGGGCACAGTCTGTGATGATGCTTGGGACTTATATGATGCTCAGGTTGTCTGCAGACAGCTCGGCTGTGGAGAAGCCATTGATGTTGTGATAGACGGCCATTTTGGTGAAGGCTCTGGTAACATCTTCCTGGATGACATACGATGCCGAGGGCAAGAAAGATCCCTTGAAGAATGCTCCCACCCAGGTTGGGGAGTCCATAATTGTCAGCACAAGGAAGATGCTGGTGTAATCTGCGCAGGTACTTTCAACCATTTTTCATGGATATTAGATACAGACATGTGGCTTTTATTTTTACTCTATTTTATGATCAGGATTTAACTTTTGCTTTCTCAGACTTTAAAAATATAAATAAATTAAAAACACTTCCAACCACTATAGACAATCCTATTTCACCTGGTGAGCAAGGCTGTGGTGAGGCTTTTTCATGTGACATTTTTCACAGCAGATCTACATTGTGAATGCATAATGAGATTGCTCACAAATTACATTGTTTCATGCTTTTAATGTAATTAACAAATACAGAATTGGAAATACAGAATTTATGTTGACAGTATTTTACATTCAGGTTTTAATTTTTTTCCTAATTTTTTTTAAAAAATAGAAACCCTTCCATCTACTACAACATCTGGTAAGCACTACAGTGATATTGCAGTATTTTCCACAAAAGATCAGTATTCAGAATATGTTACCCAAAATTAAACTGCTTCCTGTTGCTGATGTATTTAAATAATTCTTATTCTTTCTTCTGCCAATGCCATCTCAATTCTTTTTCATTTTACTTTATTGTCTCCTTGCTTTTACATATGTGCTATTTCTCTTTTCAAGAAATCTTTTTGCTCTGTTATTTTGCAAATCATTGTTACATGTTTAATCTGTGCTTGGAAAAAATCACTTTGAATAATCTTCCAATGGCTAAGGGGTATTAGACTTTCCTTCCATGAGAACTCATTTGGCTGAAACCAGCAAATCAGAAGAAAGTGATAAAAGAGCTTTATGTCAAAATCTAATGCTGGAAAAGCTGTAAGCATAACCATGAAAATGGTCCACATCCAAAAGTTTCAGGCAGTTTTTTAGTCTAATTTTGAAAACTAAACTATATGCTTGAACTCTTAAAAAAACCTATAAATGTAGCTTCTGAGTGCATTGTAAACCATTTCCTAGTCACTGCCTATAATTGCCAACTTCTCACTTAAACTTTTTAATGTTTCAGGTCTTATGTGTGTTTCAGGTCTTATGTGTGTAAGAAATATATGTAGGATTGAGACATTATCACATTTCTAAGGAAATTCACCTATTTTGTTCATGGCTGTTTCATCCCATAAATTAGATTTTTTAAAAAATTCTTGAGATATAAGGGAGCTATGCTCATAGCTTGGTTTCTGTCAAAACCATTAAGTGTCTCTCAGTGCATAAACAATATCACAAAAAGTTGTGTTTGAGTAATACAGAGTAGTAGTATATTACCCCATTGATGTAACTTGCAGAGGTGAATTTCCACAATCTAAGTAGTCAGTGCTGGGATTTCCCATTGCACACTGAGTCATGCAACTGGTATGAGACAGGAAATTTCCACACCAATTTGTTAACTTGCAGCACTTTACAAATAAACATTATACCAATCACGTTACATAGGCAAGTATAAAAAACAGGATTTTGGCCATTGGATTTAAATTGTTCTCACACATTTGAATTTTGTCAGTAAAGGGGGAAATTAGAGATTTAGGAAGGATGTGCTTGAAAATAAAACAAAACAAAAAATAAAAGGTACATTTAAAAGGATGTTTGTTTTTTCATAGATTCCAGTGACACGAGCCAGAAAAGCAAACATTTCTTGATTTTAATGCTTAGACAGATTTATTCCTTAAACAGGCAGTGGAAGATGCCAGTTTAAATTATACTGTGACAGTGTTTCTTTTTGTTGTTTATCAGTTTTTTTTTCTTCCCCAGCCCTGCTAAACAAAGATTAGAAAAGCTGGCTTTGAATTTCCTTTTTCAGCAGAGGTTGGCATGTAAATGGAATAGACTTATGGAGAACCTTAGGAAAACTCCCAAGTTTCACCTTTTTTAAAGAATTAGTTTAATTATTCTTCCAAACTAATCTTTATACTTTTTTTTCTTTGCATCTGACACATATCTCAACTACAGCATATTACATGTTGCATTTAAATCTCCCCCTTTTTGGAATAATACAAATGTATATTGTTTTCATTATTTATTGTATATTGCCAGTTCCTTCAGTTAGCACCAAGTATCCAATTACCACAGATCAGGAAATGAACTGAGTACTTCATTCACTATTTGAATTATTGAAAGGGAACATTGGGGCTGAGATCCTTTGATGGCATTCTTTCCTTTCCTTTTGAGTAGAAAAGTAATGTTCAGCAACTACTTCCAATGGACAAAGCTGAGGTTGCCATGTGGAATCTGCAGGACATTCACTAACTTTTTTTTTATTGTTGTTCTTTATGTCCTTCTTGTTTTACTCATATATATACATTTAACTTATCTGACATCTCTTGCTTAACTATCAGGCATTAGATGGGGTTGATTAGGTCTGAGCAGGGCAAAGGGTTGGTTTAATCTTTTCTTTCAAGCACATCACTGTCACAGTACCTCCCCCATCATGTTATTAAAAACTCATGTGTGACACCTAGATAGCAAATCAGGGCTGACATTGCAAGCAGAGCAATTACACCCTATTGATTATCTCAGTTCTAGTAGTTAATGATTGCAAATAACTATGCAGAGCAATGATTTGCCAATTGTCTCGATTCATTGTCCTGTTCTGCTATTGCCATTTATAACTACTTTATGTTGAAATATAAGCTTCAAGGTTATCAAAACTAAGGAACTAAACTATCTGTGTAATGGTGGCATTTATCTATTTTCTTTTGGCTAGCATCAACATCTCTAGTTGCCACTCGGGAGTTCATTACTTCTGGTAAACTTCGAAGCAGAAGTTTATTTTTTTAAAGAGAGATGCATGGAGATGTGGCAACAGATTATTCAGCAATGATAGATTTTTTAAAAGGACAAGAAGCCTTGTCATATGATGTACATCAGAAACAGAATAGTACTTTGGAATTCTACCAACTAGTTATTTACACAGGACAGAGATGGAAAAGGAATGAAGAAGGAAGGGAAGTTATCTCTGATAATACCTACCAAGCAAAGGCAGGACAGGTCAACAAGACACGACAGTGGGCACCCATGTAATCCTAGCATCCGAGCACAATATCTTTAGCACTTTTACTACTTCTTGCTCCTAAAATAAGGGACACAGCAAACAAAATTAGCTTTGAGGATGACCACTGCACATTACTACATATTTCTGAATCTACTGCATGACAGGAGCTCATAGACTTTTAACCTAGGCGTTTATTTAAAAAAGCTGGAAGCACTGGAAATGTAAATTTATCAGAGGATACCAAGGATTATTTGGATCAAGAGAATGGCCAGTGAAGAAGTACTTTTTCACCATGAAATAATAAAACAATAAAATGCAGAAAACTAGAATACCATGGTCACATAATGAAAAATGAAAAATGAAAAATGCAGCTTAATTCTGATCATTCAATGAAAAATAAATTGGAAAAGTACTGCAAAAATTAGAAGAACCTCTTGGTTAAATAACCTGGTAGACAAGTCTAGATATAACACAGTGTTGTTCTACAGTGCTGTGGCATTCAAAATTAAGACTGCCACAATGGTATCTGACTTCTGCTAGGAAACGATGAAGAGGGAGTCATGAGGGCAAAGTATTTCAGATCCTTTCTCCTCTCCTTCTGATAAGAGGAGCCATAATATCTGAGTAACAGTGGCTTTTCTTTTTATTTTCTTTCAAGTAGCATCAACATTTGTGCCCAGCACTCAAGAGTCCACAACGCTTGCACCCAGCACTCAAGCATCCACAACGCTTGCACCCAGCACTCGAGAATCCACAACGCTTGCTCCCAGCACTGAAGCATCCACAACACTTGTGCCCAGCACTCGAGAATCCACAACGCTTGCACCCAGCACTCGAGAATCCACAACGCTTGCTCCCAGCACTGGAGAAACCACAACACTGACACCCAGCACTCGGGAATCCACAACATTGGTGCCCAGCACTCGAGAACCCATTACTTCTGGTAAGTGTTCAATGAGAATTTCATTTTCGGTGTCAGTTAATTCACCTGGGCTACAATGTTAAACATCTGTACTCAATGAGTTCAGTAGGACTTTCTCCCAGGTAAATGTGCTTTAAATTGCAACCTCATTAGATTGCAATGCTCTGCTTGAAATTACAGTGGTGCCTCGCTTGACAACATTAATTCGTTCCAATGAAATCACTGTAGAGCGAAAACGTCGTAAAGTGAAATTAAAAAGCCAATTGAAATGCATTGAAAACCGCTCAGTGCATTCCAGTGGGCTGAAAACTCACCGTCCAGTGAAGATCCTCCATAGGGGTGGCCATTTTCCATGCCTGTGCAGCGAGGAATCCATCCCTAAGGACAGCGGGGGCCATTTTCTTCAGTTGGTGGCCATTTTGAAAGCCGAAGATCAGCTGTTTTTGATCACGGTAATGTGAAGAATCAGTTCCCAAAGTAGGGAACCGATCATCGCAAAGTGGAAAAACCCCATTCAAACCATCGTTTTGTGATCGCAAAAGTGATCACAAAAACCTCACCGTCAAGCGGATTCATCCTTAAATGGGGTAATCATAAAGCGGGGCACGACTGTATGTCTGCATTCAATGATTTTTGCATTTGATAAGGCTTGGAAGGGGGGGTTCTGCTATTTCTAGCTCACCATCCTCCATCGACACAAAGAACAGCAGGAATGTATTTTACTTCTGTCATTTGCTTCTGTGACACTTTTTAAACTGTTTTAATGCCATAGGACAAGATAAGAGCAGTACAAAGTAAGATTTAAGTCAGCGCTACGTAATTCTAACACTATATCAGAGCTCTGTCTTATTTGCCAGTTATGTCTCTCGTGTCTTTCTTTTCTGTAAAAGGACAATAGGGCCTGTTTATAGCCTGGGGAAGGAAAGCCAATGGGGTAGGGGTGGCAGAGAAGTATGCCAGCAGCAGTTTTGCCACCTTTTAGCGCAACCAAGGCAGATTCTGTTCCTGAAGCCCAGATTGAAAAGGCTCTTAATAATCATGGCCAAACTATACTTTGCAGGTGCCCATAATTGTAGCTGAAATCAAGTTGGTGTTTCAGATACATGACTCTAGCAGATCTTTCTGAGGAAACAGGCTTGAAAATAAAAACAAATCCATGTTTATATTCCAAAGGCCAGTCATCAAAGCAAGCTAGCTGATTTGCTTTTCCAGATAATGACAATCCAAAATCCAGTGCACAGTTGGTCAGACATTCTCTATGTATGATGTAGTGCACAGGAAAGACATGTGACTCAGAAATGTATATGTATGGTACACCCTCTCACACTTTTTTTTCTCAGCCTTTTTTGCATATTATTCATGGGAAACGGTGTGTTTTCTCCATACATACATTTTCATACCTGGAGTCCTGTTTTCAGTGTCAGTTCTGGGGACACATAATAAGCTTCCCCAATGAACATAAGGATTGTGAGCATGTTCAAGAGTCTCCTGAGCAATGCCGGCACACTTCCACTCCGGAAGCACCACAGAGTTCCTTCTGACAGGGACAAAAGAGTCAGTTCTTTGCACCACAAATGCAATATATTTTGATGCAAATCAAAGCATATCAGTTCAATGCACATTTCTCTACTGATTGCAGTGAAATTGTATTTCCCACATTATAGCATCACCCTTTCTTTTTCTTTATTATTTCCAAAAACCAAACCTTGGTGTGGAAATCTACTACTTCAGCTAATTCAAGTGGTAAGAAACATTTCATCTTCATAATTTAATTTAATTTAATTTAACAATAAAAATATTCATGTGCTGTCAAGTCAGTTCTGACCTTTTCAAGATTTTCCAGGTAGGGAATACTTAGAACTGTTTCTGGGAGTGTCCTGGGACTGTGCAGCTTGCCCACAGCCACATAGGCTGCCTCTACTTGGAGGAGGTACAGTGAGGATCGAACTCCCAGCCTCTGGCTCCACAGCCAGATAGTTAAACCACTGAGCTATCCAGCCAGCTCTATTTAATGTAATACAAAATTCCAATTCTGTATATGCAGGCATTACAGAACTGATATACAATGGAGGAACTGTCCAATAAGCAGCCTGTAGACATAAGTGCCTATGATGTGTAGCATGTATAGAGCTTAATTTCCAGTGGTGACTGTTGTTTCCCCCCATCTTTCTAAAAGGAACTGTAAGACTCATCAATGGAAGACACAGATGCGAGGGACGGCTTGAAGTATTATACTATGGAAGGTGGGGGACAGTCTGTGATGACGAGTGGGACATCAAAGATGCACGTGTTGTGTGCAGACAGCTTGGATGTGGAGCTGCTGTCTCAGCAGTGGGAAAAGCTCGGTTTGGCCAGGGTAGAGACATGATTTTTCTGGATGATATATTATGCACGGGAAATGAACTCAGCCTAGAACAGTGCATCCACAGAGGCTGGGGAGTACACAACTGTATCCACAGAGAAGATGCTGGTGTCATTTGTTCAGGTACCCTCTCACTATCAATTAATGCATTATCAAATTTATCTGAGGCTGAAATCCCACACCTACTTTTTTCTATTTCTTCCCTGTGGGAAGTCAAATGTTGTCATGACTCTTCTAACATAACAACTGTAAACAAGGAAGCTTTACATCAAAATTAAGTTTCTTAATTCTTCTAAATTCTTCTTTTCCCTGCATTTCTTTTCACAGTTATGTTCTTGTGAATGAGCAGCTGTATCAATCTGCACCTCTCTTTTTTCCTTATAGGACTGATATATTTTAGCTTTCCTCATTTCATGTGCTTTATGATTTCTTAATCTTTATTCATTCATTTTAGGTACTTCTTCTTTGGTCACTCTCTCAATCCAAAAATAATTCTTAGCATCCAGTAATAATGCTAATGATGCATTTTGAGTTTCAATAAATCCACATTTTAAATGTTTCTATCATTTGCACAATGACCTGTGTTAAAGCCTGTGAGTCAATGCTAATCAGTTGCACCAAGAATACATAGCATTTAACAATGCATGTTGCCCAAGACAGTATTAAATTTTTCTTGCATGTTATATTGCTCATTTTAAAAAACTGCTGAAGGCCATCTCTATTTGGACTTCTATTGCATGGCTATAGCTACTGACTTGGCAATAAACCTCACTCAAATATATAGGACTTACTTTATAGGAATGCATAAGGGCATGATAGTATGACAGGGCTGGGCAATTAATTTCTATAGGGGACCACATGAAAAATCTGACCTGTATTTGGGGGTGGGTAGTAATAGGCCCCCAATTTGTGGGTAGTGATAGGCCCCCATTGGGTGAGGCCCTGCAGTGAACGAACGACAAGGCTGACATAGTTAACTCCCTAAACTTTTTAGGGAGTCAACTACGTGAGTGTTCTAATTCGTTCACCGTGGGGGGTGGAGAGGAAAAAACTCCAACACTGAGCTAACTCACCTGTCCTCTGTTCCCGCATGGCCTTCCTCTCCGACTGTTTCTATCCAGCATAGGTGACATGATGTGTCATCACGTCACCTGAGCAACGGTCTCTTCCTGCCTCTTGAGCCACGGGCTCTGCAGCCTGCAGCTCAAAAGAAACAGTCAAAACTCACAAGATCCCAGTGTCAGATCTTGCGGGTTTTGCTTACTGCCATGCTGGGTGACTGGAGCCCGAACCCCGGCTCACTCAGCGGCAACGGGCATGCCGGACAGGAGCGGTGATGGGCGGGCCAGACAGGAACATGCCGGACAGGTGCGGCGATGGGCGGGCCAGACAGGAGTGGCTCTCAGGCCATAGGTGGCCCGCGGGCCGCACTTTACCCAGTTCTGTAGTATCTCAGGCCATAGGTGGCCTGCGGGCCGCACTTTACCCAGTTCTGTAGTATGGGGAATAAAAAACTGTTGATCAATACATTGTGTCAAATTTCATATAAAACAAAACATTGTAAGATAATATTAAACATCCTTTAATTCTTCCCATGTCTCATCAATAGTTGTTATGAATTTTGAAGTTTCCTCCAAGATTTACACAAAGCAGACAACTGTGTTTTTTTTGTTTGTTTGTTTTTTGTTTTGGCCTGTATTAGGACCAGCCAAACTGTCAGAGACTTCAAAGATTTATTTTTGGTACATATACGGACAATCAAAACTGTCAGAGAATACCGAATATGTTTTTGAATTCACAGAACTTCTCATTGGCTTGGAGGTTAAACAAATTGGGGATAGGGGTAGGAATGGGGGGCTTGATGCCAAAGTGATACAAGATACAAGTTTTATCACTGAAGATGCAGACTAAATCAGACTCTTAACTGAAAAAGAAATCGGATTTACTTTGGTATTAATATTTTTCTTTTCTTCTTCTTCACCATTAATGTTTGAACCATGCTTGGTGGGAAGCACTTTTTCTGTCATGAAATACGTTCTGCTTGGTTTAAAATCATTATACAATTTATACAATTCCATATACTCACTATTTGCCCCTCCTTCTCTTTTCAAGGAGCAGCCCAGACCACTCCTCCTCCCACAAGTAAGTGGCCTCTCATCCCCTTCATAATCTAGTCCAAAATAACAATTCTGTTAATATGTATACACAATAAGATACATTTCTCTTGCATGAACTTGTTGTGGACTTGAATGTAAAAATGAATTGTATGCCTGAAGTTTGCATATCAGTTGATTTACCTCTGAACATGTTCCAATTTATTGGCATCCTTCTTGAAGAGCAGTGTCCAGAAGCAGCCTTTTGTGCCCTTCACAGAAATGAAGGAGGATTAAACTTTTGCCCGGCTGTATGACCGTGCAGGTTGCATAATAAGTCTGCAGCACACTGCACCATCATGAAGCTGGAAAGGGTCTGTAAGGCTATCAAGTCCAACCTCCTGCTCAATGCAGGAATATAAACCAAAGGATATCTCCTAGGTAGATGTCTAAATTTCTCTTAAATGCCTCCAGTGTTGGAGCACTCATTACATCTTGAGGTAATTGATTCCATTACCTTACTGCTATAACAGTTAGGAAGTTTTTCCTGATAGTCAACCAAAATCAGGCTTCCTATGAGCCTATTGTTGCGTGCTCTGATCTCTGGGTTGATCAAGGAGAGATCCTCCCTTTCTTCTGTATGAAAGCCTTTCAAGTAGTTGAAAAGTGCTGTCGTATCTCCCGTCAGTCTTCTTTTCTCAAAGCTGAACATCCCGAGTTATTTCAGTCTCTCTTCATAGGGCTTCATTTCCAGCTACCTGATCATCCTTGTTGCCATCCTCTGAACTTGTTCCAATTTGTTAGCATCGTTCTTGAAGAGCAGCGTCCAGAAGCAGCCTTTTGTGCTGTTCACAGAAATGAAGGAGGATTAAACGTCTGCCTGGCTGTATGACTGTGCAGGTTGCATAATAAGTCTGCAGCACTCTGCACCAAAGGAAGAGAACGTTTGACCTTTCAAATGTTCTAGATCAGTGGTTCTTAACCTTGGGTTACTCAGGTGTTTTTGGACTGCAACTCTCAGAAGCCTTCACCACGAGCTATGCTGGCTGGGGTTTTACAGGAGTTGTAGTCCAAGAACACCTGGGTGACCCAAGGTTGGGAACCACTGCTCTAACGTACACGGGCTCACAATTGAACTACGTACCGGGATTTGATTCTACCATTTAATGAGTTCTGCCTTCTTTTTTATATTCACTCTATGGTGCACCCGAATGTTTTTCCACCAAGAAGCTGGATATTTGTTCATCAAAAATAGTACAGATTCTTTAGGCTCTTGGTTTTGGACGCATCCCGGAAACTTGTGTTTTCTATTTAGCAAAATTCATATACCAATTAGGGATACTGGACTCTTGCTGATAAAATATAATCTCTAGGGCTGTCCACAGAATTGTTACTATCTTTGGAGCATCAACAGATGGGACAACTGCTTCTTTCATAAATTAAGGATATTGATGTTCTCTTTCTCTCTCTCCCTGTTATGTAGTAGAACTAAAGAAATCCACAGATGAGAACCAGCTTCAAAGTCCCCCCAAAGCCCTCCTCTTTTTCATTAAGCGGCACCTAAAATCTCAATAACTTACTCCGAGATATTTGTAGGAGAAAGAATTTAAAATGTTTCTTTACGTCCAGTTGCTTGAAATAGTACCCATGAATACTGCTTTCTTTACTGCACACATACTAGCAACCAACAGGACAGACCAACAGCAAGAAACAACTGCCACCAGCTGATGAAAAAGAGGAACAGAGCACTCAGCAGAGAGGTGGCGCTCTCTTTGAATTTCAGACACTGAGGGGATTGATTGATTAGTGCTGGATAGACAATCACTCCAGCCCCGAGGGCTATTTTTATGGTCCTCCCATAATCCTGGGGCATTCTGGGAGTTGTAGTCCAAAGAAGGAAACATGCCCAAGTTCCATCCTGCTCCCAACGACTCCTGCATCGTAGCAAACATTCTCGCCTGCAGATGGATGCAGAATACAGCTGTCATAGCCTCAATATATTAACGATATAGACGGTTACAAAGGAAATGTTTTGGGGTTATTAATTTTCTGGATGATTCAAGCAAGGGACAAAGTGGGAAAATGAATTTAAACAGCAAAACAAAGTGTGTTGAATATAGCATAAAAACCTGTTTTGAATCATTGTGTGTTCATGGTGGTATTGCTCCCCTTCTGGGAAGACTATTTAAAAGAAATGACTTCTATGTTTTCTTCATATTAGCAGGGGACATGTATGACTAGACTTCAATGGTCAACATATACCATAATTTCAATTTTACTGCATATTCCCCTGCTTGACATGTTGTAATTCCGCTATAAGGAAATTGAATTTATACAGGGACTTCTTAGTTCACCTTGAAAGAGAACCAGAAGCTTATGATCATAAATTTTAACGTTTCGTCCAAGATTTACACAAAGCAGATAAAGATTTATTTTTGGTCTGTATACAGACAATCCAAACTGTCAAAGAAGAGTGAGCATGTTTTTGAATGCACAGAACTTCTCATCGGCTTGGAAGTTAACCAAATTGGGGATAAGGGTGGGAATGGGAGGCTTGATGCTGAAGTGATGCAAGATACAGGTTTTGTCGCTGAGGATGCAGACTAAATCAGACTCTAACTGAAAAAGGAATTGGATTGACTCTGGTATTAATGTTGTTCTTATTTTCTTCTTCTTCTTCACCATTAATGTTTGAACGATGCTTGGTGGGAAGCACTTTTTCTGTCATGAAATACGTTCTCCTTGGTTTAAAATCATTGTACAATTTATACAATTCCATTTACTCTCTATTTGCCCTCCTTCTCTTTTCAAGGAGCAGCCCAGGCCACTCCTCCTCCCACAAGTAAGTGGCCTCTCATCCCCTTCATAACTTTGTCTAAAATAACAATTCTGTTAATATGTATACATAATAAGATACATTTCCTTTGCATGAACTTGTTGTGGACTAGAACGTAAAATGACTTGTATGCCTGAAGCTCGCATACAAGTTGATTTACCTGTACCAGAGGTAGGGAACCATTAGCCCTCTGGAGGAATTGGATTGACGCTGGTATTAATCCTATTCTTATTTTCTTCTTCTTCTTCACCATTAATGTTTGAACGATGCTTGGTGGGAAGCACTTTTTCTGTCATGAAATACGTTCTCCTTGGTTTAAAATCATTATACAATTTATACAATTCCATTTACTCTCTATTTGCCCCTCCTTCTCTTTTCAAGGAGCAGCCCAGGCCACTCCTCCTCCCACAAGTAAGTGGCCTCTCATCCCCTTCATAACTTTGTCTAAAATAACAATTCTGGTAATATGTGTACATAATAAGATACATTTCCTTTGCATGAACTTGTGGGACTACAACATAAAAATGGATTGTATGTGTGAAGCTCGCATACAAGTTGATTTACCTATACCAGAGGTAGGGAACCATTAGCCCTCTGGAGATGGTTGAATTATAACTCCCATCATTGGTCCTTATTGCCTATACTTGCTGGTGGAAGTTGTGTCTTGACAGCATCTGGAGGACTATACATTGCCCATCTTATCACAGAATCATAGAATCACGGAATCATGAAGCTGGAAAGGGCCTGTAAGGCCATCGGGTCCAACCTCCCACTCAATGCAGGAATATAAACTAAAGGATATCTCCTAGGTGGCTGTCTAAATTTCTCTTAAATGCCTTCTATGTTGGAGCACTCATTACATCTCGAGGTAATTGATTCCATTGCCTTACTGCTATAACAGTTCGGATGTTTTTCCTGATAGTCAACCAAAATCAGGCCTCCTATGAGGCTTGGTTTCCAGCTACCTGATCATGCTTGTTCCCCTCCTCTGAACTTGTTCCAACTGGTTGGCATCCTTCTTGAAGAGCAGTGTCCAGAAGCAGCCTTTTGTGCCCAGAAATGAAGGAGGATTAAACTTTTGCCGGGCTGTATGACTGTGCAGGTTGCATAATAGGTCTGCAGCCCACTGCACCAAAGGAAGAGAATATTTGACCTTTCAAATGTTCTAGATTATAATTCCTTCAATCTCTTACCATTAGTGCTACTGGTTGAGGATTCTGGGACTTGAACTACAAACCATGAGGAAGGGAAAAGGCTTCCCATGTCAGCTATGATGGAACAGGTACCATTGACTCAGAACACATACCAGAGCAACTTTAGACAATGATTAAGGAAATTAGGTATTCTCCTCCACTGATGTCCAAGTGTTAGAAGGCCTGTGCAAGACAGAATCAAGATGCACACTAAAATCCTTGAAGGGACAAGCCTGCTTTTCAACATCAATTCCTCCTGTGATAAATGGAGCAGCTTGTCATATATGATAAGTTGTAGAGACAAATAGACTTTGATTACAGTGGAATTTTAATTCTCACAATAATTGTCTGCCACTGTTGTTGTTCCCCTCTTTCTAGGACCACCATTTCCAATGGAAACGACTGCATTGATTGGTAAGGGGCATTACAGCTTCCTCACAAAATAAATCCTAGATGAGAATAGATCCTCCGCCAATCATGTGCCCAACTTTTCCCCTATTATAACAGAAACTGGCACAACCCCTGTGTTAAACTATGGTTTTCATTGTGTTTTTATGCAAACTGGAAGGCACCTTCAGCTCCTAGGAGAAGGGTAGGGTTTAAATTTTTTTAAGGAAAACTTGATGTGCCACCAGCAACAGACTTTCTCTCTCTGTCTCTCTTGTCTTTCCAAGAAGGGGCTGTGAGGCTCGTCAATGGAAGAAACAGATGTGAAGGACGGCTTGAAGTATTTTACAATGGAGAGTGGGGGACTGTCTGTGACGATGAGTGGGACATGAATGATGCACGTGTCATCTGCAGGCAGCTTGGCTGTGGAGAGGCTCTCTCAGCACCTGGAAATGCCCAGTTTGGTCCAGGCCCAGGCAAAGTTTTTCTAGATGACGTAGCTTGCAGTGGGAATGAATTTCGTCTGACCCAGTGCTCCCACAATGAGTGGGGGATAAGTAATTGCCTGCACAATGAAGATGCTGGTGTGGTGTGCTCAGGTACTCTTTGAATGATGAATGATAACAGTCAAGTCTAGAGATGGGGAATTCATATATGAATACCCCCATCACTACTCAAGACATTAATGGATATAGATAGTTACAGAAGTCATGAATTCTCTGGCTAATTAAGGCAAGTGAAAAAGTGGAGAAATGGATGTAAGCAGCAAGACCGAAAAATATTTTGAATATTTGAAAACTACTTTGATAATTACATTATAAACCTCTTAAAAGTCATAGTCTTTTCTAACAGTAGAAACAACAGCAGCTTTCTTAGTAGTAATAGATGAACAATATGCAAGAGTACATTGTATCATGCAACAAGAAGCTAATACTATAGAAATAAGCAGAATAATATTCATAAACAATATTTTAAAGCATTGAAGATTTGGTAACCACCCTGTTAATAAATCCCACCAAGATTCAAATCCAATACTTGTTCATCACCCTCATATACTTTGAATTTAAACCAGCCTGCAACTTCCAGAGTGGCAGTGGTTATAACTGGCCACCCTTGTAAACCTGATACCGGAGCATGCGAGCAAACCAAACAATCTATAACATTTATTTCTTTGTTCATGTTTTCACCAATTGATGGAATGCATTTTTCCCCATCCAGCATACCTGATTTCAATGATCATCAATAAAATTCCCATTTGCAATAATTTCCACATTCTGGTTGACTGTTTTCTCTTCGGCCACAAGGTGTCAATCGCAAGTTTGTCTTGATATTGCAAGTTTTCTAGTGGAATATGAAGTGTAGGAATTTCTGTCTTATTAAAATATTATTTGGTGGTAGCCTTCAATTAAAAAAAGCAAAAACACAAAAAACCCTGTTTTCAAACAGATAAAACTGAAAATACAACATATAAATGTGGTATCTTCTTTCTTCAGGTACCCAAACAGTTGAGTCTTGTGTATATACTATTGTTTGTTCATACACAGTCTATATTAAGACAAGAATAAGTTTTAAAAAATCTTCAGATGTTAGTGGTCACTTTGTCCCTAAAGGAAAATAAAATCTGAATTTTATTAGTTGTTTCCTCCCACTTCTGCTGGCCATTTATCTGTAACAAATAAGAAGTTGGATAAATAGAATAGAAAATAACATAGAGTCCTCTCCAGCATGATCTCAAAGAATGTTCCTTGGTATCTAAAACCAAATATGCTACTTGTGTTCCTATTAAAACATAGCTTTATCAGACATAATTTTTTCCTTTACCTCATCAACTTGACGCCGAAAACATAGCTTTATCAGACATAACTTTTTCCTTTACCTCTTTCAACTTGACGCCATTGTTCTTGAATTTCTTCCCGGTATCTATTTCTTTCTTGTAACAGGTTAAACCAATAATCCTCTGATATTTCATCATAATCATGGGGAAATCCCAAACACATTTTTTGTTCCAAACAATATCTCGTATAGGTAGTAACACCGCATTCCTCATTGTGGCTAACACTTTTGATAATTTTTCAGCCCAATCTTTACCATTTTTCTTTCACTAATTTCCTTAACATTCCTTTTATTGTTTGGTTTGCTCATTCAACTTTCCCACAGCTTTGTGGACTATATGAAATGTGTACTTTTCTCTTGATCTCTAATGCATCCTCCATTTGTCTCATGATTTCTCCTGTGAACACCCCTCCCTTCTCTGAGCTTTTGACACTAGGCATATCCATCCTACAGAATAGCTCTTTAAACAACTTTTTTGTTGTTGAAAGTGCATCATTTTTCTTTGTTGGGAATGCTTCACACCAACGGGAGAAACCATCAATCACCACCAATAGGTACTCAAATCTTTCCTTTGTTCTAGGCAATCTGTCAATATAGTCAATGTATATTGTTCCCCATGGTTCTGTGTTTCTTTGTGGTATAATTATCCCTCTTGTTTTTCATATTCTCTTTTTACTAAATTGCATGGTACACATGAGACATGTAGGTCTTTTTAAATTGTATCATTTTTGCAGTTTTAGTTTCCACTTCCTTAGGGGTTTTTCTTCTCTTGACTAATTGATCCACTGTTTCCTATTGGTAACCAATTTCCCCCTCTGGTTGATGGACTTTTATCCTATAAAAGAGCACATCAACCTCACCTGTTCGCAGTATGTCATAATTTTCTTTCCATTCAGCAGAATGCTTTAGAAGTTTGTTGTCTACATTCTTCCAATAACCCTTAGCCCAAAACCAAATATACTCTGTTATTCCTTTGTAGAGACATTCATTGTTAATGACAACATGATGCTAACTTGACCTGTTTTCCTCCTGCAAAGTCTTAAGGACTTGTAACACATCCTGAACTTCTGTTTCCTGTGCACCAAAAGAGTTTGGTAGTTCTCCCCTTTCCTCCTGCTGTCTTGATGGATTCCACCAAGCCCAAGCAGTACTTCTAACTCCATTTTCTCACTCTGTTCTATTTGTTGTTGCATGGATTCCATGTGACCTATGGTTTTCTCTTTTATTGCTTGTCTTAGGGATTCCACCTCCTGTCTAACATCTTTAATATGTTTTTGTAGATATTCCAGGCCTGTCACCATGAAGGTTATTAAGGTGTTGCCTTGTGGCTGTGTGGCTGTAATGCTACCCTCTCCAAATGTCAAACTTGCTGTTTTATATAAAATTTCCCCTGGGGGCTGTATTCCCTGGTGCGATTGTTCCAAAAGATATATTTCTCCCTTTTTAATTGCTTCCTCTGCTCTAGCATTTGGAGTATCTTGGTCTCTTACTCTTAAGAGCCAGTCTGTTGCTTGCTCTAATAAATCTCCAGCTTCAAAAGTCACTCTGTGTTTTTACAGAAAATACAGAATGTCCTCTGATGCTGGCTGGGACATCCCTCTCTCAAGACCATGCGATTTTACTATCTTCTACAAACACCAACCAAGGCTTCTAGCCTCACAGAGTTTGTTTTAAGCCGCCACCACCACCAAAAAAGAGTATTCTACCTTTGTAGGCCCTGCTCCTATCATTAGAAACTACCTATTATACAGTGCTTTCAAACTGTACAGGCAAACTACCAATAACATTGCATATGGCAACAGATCCTTGTAATCTACATTTTCCCACTATTTCTCAACAGGCCCTGCCCTTTTCCAAGAGCTACCTGCTTTCATTGTCTCCTCTTCCCAAAACTCTCACAAAAAAGCTTTTAATAATGATTTTTCTGATGTACTTTATTCTTAGTACTAAACAATGCTCAATAGTCAATATTTTCAATAGGTATAAAATAGGAATGAGTGAGCAAGGAGAACAGATAGTAAAAGAGAAGAGAGATAAAGAATTTTAAGTTTGGGAGAAAAGCACATTCATTGTGAATTGATTTATTCTGAAGTGCTAGTTTCCACAGACTCAAATAGTATAGATCAAAAAACACATATCTGAGTCCCATTTATGTACAAGAGAGTGGAAATTAGCACTACTCTCCCTGTTGAGTATTCAGATGTTAAACAAAGTCACCTAGACTATGCTTAATTCAGCATCCTTTATGTACAGGAGAAGTCTTGGTGGCTGGACAACACAGAATCAGCCTTTAGCTACAACAACACTGGTTGGTCTTTATCTATAGACACATCTTTCAGGCTAGAGGCTGGAGAGCAGATCATAATAAATAAAATTGGTTCTTATAGATGAAAAAGATTTAGCTCTTCAAAAATGTAGTGGTTGGAAAATCTCAGAGAAAGCAGGAGGTCAAAATAATCAGGGAAAGATCAGGGGGAGAGTCAGACAAAGAAAAAGGAAAATAGGGAGCACAGAAAAATTATCTGCAACAGGGTCAAAGACAAAAGAGGAAAATACAATTTCAGAGAATCTCACAAGTCCACAGAGACATCACAATCACACCCATTCACAACAAACATAAGGAAAAATAATATGGCATTTCCCCGAAAATAAGACAGGGTCTTATATTAACTTTTGCTCCAAAAATGCATTAAGGCTTATTTTCAAGGGATGATTTTTTTTTGTTTCACGGACAACAATCTACATTTATTCAAGGTATTTTCAAGGAATGATTTTTTTTTTTTGTTTCATGGTCAACAATCTACATTTATTCAAATACAGTCATGTCATCTTCTTCTGGTTGCTATACAATGGTGGAGGCCAGGGTTTCACTTAACTAGGGCTTAATTTTGAGTTAGGGCTTATATTACGAGCATCCTGAAAAATCATACTAGGGCTTATTTTCAGGTTAGGTCTTATTTTCAGGGAAACAGGGTAATAAGAGAAATCTTCAATATTATCTCACCCATTTTCCTTTGCTATATATTCTTTCTTGTTCCTTGGGATACCCTGCTCACACTCTGCCATTCTGTCACAAAAGGGTGACTACTAGATCTTTTGTATCCCACGAAGAACAATACTATATTTATATAAACAGCAAAGGACCTCACGAGACACATTAATAAATGCAGAATGAATATACTTTATTACCGATAGATTACAATTCTAAATAAAGGGGTCTCATACATTCAACACATTCACACCACATACATACTCACCAAAGAAAGAAGAATTCTTTATTTGTATTGTCTATGTTCCAGAGAAAGTACAGTGGTGCCCCGCATAGCGACGATAATCCGTTCCGGATATCTCATCGCTATCCGGAAACATCGCTATACAGAAATAGAAACCCCACAGGAACGCATTAAACTCTGTTTAATGCGTTCCTATGGGGGACAAACTCACCGCTAAGCGGGAATCCCCCATCCGGCCACCATTTTCGCTGCCTCGGTAAGCGAGGAATCGGCGCAAAAACGCTGTGGGTGGCCATTTTCTTCATCCAGCGGCCATTTTGGAACCGCCGATCAGCTGTTCTGCTAACATCGCAATGCGAAGATTGGTAAGTGAAATGCTTACCAATCATCGCAATGCGATGTTTAGCCTATTTAAACATCGCAATGCAATCGTATAAACGATTGCAAAAAACGAATTGCTATGCGGATTCGTCGTTAAACGGTGCATTCGTTATGCGAGGCACCACTGTATTTGGTTCCAAAAGCCTTTGGTCTCAGTAGACAAATTATACCTGCCTGGACCCCTCCGTTTATATTCTTTTTGAGCAGGTTGCTAGCTGGGCATGCATATTAGATGTTTCTTTGTTTCCCACTGGATATATGGTCCTTATCACCTATTTTGAAGCATGGAATGGTTTTAGACAGGTGTGGAATGCTCAGGAGGATACCTGTACCAGGATCTTCTTAATCCTTAAATTTGCTCTACTCCCTCAATTAGCAGCAGATGGTTTCTGTCAACTTATTAAAAGCATAGTTCAAAAAGTTCACAGTTCAAGAGTTGGATTTCTCACAATAAGAGCTTATAACCAAGAATGTAAAGTCCCATAGTTTCTCTGGTCCCGCTGGTCTCCATCTTTGTGTCCTTGTGCTTTCTCTGGTTCTTCTTATTCCAGGCCAAACATGCACACACCTTACAGTATCACTCCCGTTCTGGGAAGTCTATTCAAAACAAATTACTTTTCTGTTTTCTTCATATTAGCAGGTGATATGTGGGGATTTCAATTGTCAACATATACCATAATTTAATTTCACTGCATATTCCACTGCTTAACTTGTAATTCCTTATAAGAAACTGAATTTATAGAGGGACTTCTTAGTTCACCTTGAAAGAGAATCAGAAGCTTATGATCAATACTTGTCATAAATTTTAAGGCTTCCTCCAAGATTTACACAAAGCAGACAACGATTTATTTTTTGACCGTATACGGACAATCCAAACTGTCAGAGAAAAATGAGCTTGGAGATAAAGCAAATTAGGGATGGAGTGGGAATGGGAGGCTTGATGCTGAAGTGATACAAAATGCAGGTTTTGTCGCTGAGGATGCAGACTAAATCAGACTCTAACTGAAAAAGGAATTGGATTGACTCTGGTATTAATGTTGTTCTTTTCTTCTTCTTTACCATTGATGTTTGAACCATGCTTGGTGGGAAGCACTTTTTCTGTCATGAAATACATTCTGCTTGGTTTTAAATCATTATACGATTTGTACAATTCCATTTACTCTCTATTTGCCCCTCCTTCTCTTTTCAAGGAACAGCCCAGACCACTCCTCCTCCCACAAGTAAGTGGCCTCTCATCCCCTTCATAATTTAGTCCAAAATAACAATTCTGTTAATATGTATACACAATAAGATACATTTCTCTTGCATGAACTTGTTGTGGACTTGAATGTAAAAATGAATTGTATGCCTGAAGTTTGCATATACTATAAGTTGATTTACCTCTGAACATGTTCCAATTTATTGGCATCCTTCTTGAAGAGCAGTGTCCAGAAGCAGCCTTTTGTGCCCTTCACAGAAATGAAGGAGGATTAAACTTTTGCCCAGCTGTATGACTGTGCAGGTTGCATAATAGGTCTGCAGCCCACTGCACCAAAGGAAGAGAACGTCTGACCTTTCAAATGTTCTAGATTGTAATTCCTTCAGTCTCTTACTATTGGCCCTACTGGTTGAGGATTCTGGGACTTGAAAACTGCAAAGCGTGAGCAAGGGAAAGGCTTCCCATGTCAGCTATGATGAAACAAGTACCACTGACTCAGAATACATACCAGAGCAACTTTAGACAATGATCAAGGAAATTAGGTATTCTCTTCCACTGATGTCCAAGTATTAGAAGCCCTGTGCAAGACAGAATCAAGATGCACACTAAAATCCTTGAAGGGACAAGCCTGCTTTTCAACATCAATTCCTCCTGTGATAAATGGAGCAGCTTGTCATATATGATAAGTTGTAGAGACAAATAGACTTTAATTACAGTGGAATTTTTATTCTCACAATAATTGTCTGCCACTGTTGTTGTTCCCCTCCTTCTAGGACCACCATTTCCAATGGAAACGACTGCATTGATTGGTAAGGGACATTACAGCTTCCTCACAAATTAAATCTTCTACCAATACATTAGCAGTAGATCCTTTAGGTCCTGCAAGTTGCGAGGCGGGGCCTCCATGGATCAGATTCGTTGTTCTAGAACATCCCATAGATACTCATTTGGATTGAGATCTGGGGAATTTGGAGCCAAGGTAACACCTTGACTTCTTTCTCATGATCTACAAACCATTCCCGAACAATTCTTGCAGTGTGGCAGGATACATTATCCTACTGAAAGAGGCCACTCCCATCAGGGAACATTATTGCCATGAACGGGTGTATGTAGTCTGCAACAATCTCTAGGTAGTTGGTTTGTGTCCAAGTAACATCCACATGACTGCCAGGACTCATGGTTTTTCCAGCAGAACATTGTCCAGAGCATAGCACTGCCACTGCTGGCTGGATTTCCTCCCATAATTAATCCTGTTACCATCTCTTCCTCAGGTAAACAATGCACATGAACTGGCCAACCACCTGATCTAAAACCTTTAGATCAGATGATTGGCCAAAAATGATTCAACAGACCATCCATCCTTCTTCCATTGTTCCATGGCCCAATTCTGATGTTCATGTCCCCACTGTAGGAGTGTTCAGCAGTGGGCAGAGGTGATCATGGGCACCCTATAACTATGCAACCCCATATGCAGCAAACTGTGATGCACTGTTTGTTCTGACACATTTCTATCACTGCCAGCATTAGATTTTTCAACAATTTGAGTACAGTAGCTCTTCTTCATGATTGGACCAGATGGGTTACCCTCATTCCAAATGTGCATCAATGAGCCTTAGCGCCCATCACCCTGGCCTTGGTTCATTTATCCTTCCTTGCACCACTTTTTTTAGATACTAATCACAGCATACCGGGAACACTCCACAACACTTGCCATTTTGGAGATGCGCTGACTCAGTCATTTAGCCATCACTATTTGGTCCTTGTCAAAGTTACTCAGATCTTTTCATTTCTCCGTATTTCCTGCTTCCAACACTTGAAATTCAACAACTGACTGTTCACTTGCTGCTTAATGTATCTCACCCCTTGACAGGTGCCATTGTAACAATATAATCAGTGCTATTCACTTCACCTTTCAGTAGTTTTATGTTGGGGCTCATCAGTGTAAATGCTAATCAGATTACTTGTACAAGGTCAAACTGTAAAATTATGTTGGGTCGGTAAAATGTACTATCAATATAGATGGAGTGTAGACGGATAGTTCTATCAAGATGTAGATGAAACTATATCTAGATAGGATTGTTATTACTATCTACACGTTTTGGATATCTGTTTTGTTTGCAACAGTCCTCCTTGTAAAGCAGATGTTTACAATGAACATAAAATTCTTCTATAATTAATACAAATATAACATTAGATTCAATGTTATATTGTCATTTTTTCTACCTTATTAATGAAATAAACAATTGTTATATTTATCAAATACATTTCTGTCATAAGAAGCATATTCTGCTTCATTAGAAATTTATCATTTTAAGTAGTTTATTTTAGTGAAATTATATTTACTGTACTATTTCTCTCACTCTCCTTTTTTTTCCTTTCCTTCCCCATATTTTAAGGCACAAATAAGACTTCTCATTCTCCAACAAGTAAGAAGCACCTCTTTGTCATGTCATTATCCTAAATCCTAATTTTATAAAGCAAAAATTGGTCTCTGAACAAGCCCATAAACATAAATGTTCCTGGCATGTACAGAGCTCAATGTACTATTGCTAACCAATGTTCTATCATCGTCGTCATCTTAGAATTGCAGAGCGAATTCCCCTTGTTTCTTTTAGATGGAGATCTGCAACTTGTCAATGGAAGACATAGATGTGAGGGACGGCTTCAGGTGTTTCACAGTGGAAGATGGGGAACCGTCTGTGATGATGACTGGGACATGAATGCAGCACGTGTTGCGTGCAGGCAGCTTGGATGTGGAAATGCTATCTCACCAGTGGGGAAAGCACAGTTTGGCCAGGGTAGAGGGGACATTTTTCTGGATGATATGTCCTGCGTTGGGAACGAACTCCGCTTGGAACAGTGCTCTCACAGAGGCTGGGGAAATCACAACTGTAACCACAGAGAGGATGCTGGTGTCATCTGCTCAGGTACTCTTGGATAACAGGATAATGAGAAATATATTGATGACTACGTTAAGGGCCAGAACAATGTAGATCAGAATCTATTAGCTGACCTCTGGCCAGCTTGCAGTAGATTGCTAAGGATTTCTGACATAAGGGGTCTGAAAATTGCAGGTAAGGTTTGCAAATTAAAAAAACTATCTGTGCCACAACTGACCTAGAACTCATCACTTCTTCCTTGGTTATGGTGACCTTTCCCAACCAGCAAAATAGGAACCTCACTTGGGTTCACCTGGCCAGATTTTGTGCAGCTCTGTTACCAGTTTTAGAGTTTGGTATTAGAACGTCTCTGATCTGGTCTGTTGTAACCTGAGTGTAAATTTTTACTTGTGTTTTCTGACTCAGGCAGCATGCTGGTGAAGCTGGTAATCATCTGTGCCCTAGATTATCATTTTAAATTTATTTCCACTAACAACTGCATACTTTTTATGCCCCGTCTTTTCCTGGTAACTCTAATAAGAGACACAGAAAGTCTGTTTTATTTCAATTTATTTCAATTTTTGGCTACTTCTGGCATGTTCTGACATTCAATCTCCAGGTTTCATGCATTTTTCAAATTTTGAGCTGGCATGCCCTGCAAGTGGGCTGCTAGGGGTGAATATTTGGCTCTAATTCCACGTTTGTCCATCCTTTGGACAGAAAGTACCACTAAACCAAATGGACTGATAAGCTAACTTAGTGTTAGGCCTTCTCCCATGTATCTTTCACTCCATGTATTCACACAGTCTTACCGCACCATCCAATATTTTTCATTTCTATCTGAGAAAGGAGACTTTGTGCTATGACTTGTTTATTTATCTGACATATTCTGCCCTTTCCCCAGAAACTTGTCCAAGGAACATAATGAAGAGTCAATAACTCACAGTGAAAGAGAAAATGTTGTAGCTCAGTGGCAGAATAAATATATCTCTGGCAGCCCTAGTTGGGAAACCTGTCAGAAACCTCAGGGAACCAGTGTCAAGCACTAGATGGATGATCAGCATGAAGCAACTTCCTGTCTCATATATTCCCTGTTGGAATATATTCAAGGCTTTTGTAAAAGCTCTTTAAAGTCATGTTTCCTTACATAATTTTTCCTTACAAACTAGAAAATATCTATATACTGAAACATGTAGAATTAGATAATAAACAACACCTGCCAAATTAGGTGCATTGTGCTGAGTACATGAAAGAGAAATTGTTGGGAAACCCATTTTGGATAAAGATTCAGGCCACAGAAGTATTGTTAGGGACAGGATACTCTTCTTGTTCTTTATTTCCCAACTAGAAATTAGGAAGTTCTAAAACTCTGATAACTTAATGTTCTAGTTCTGACTTTGCATACATAATAGGTTTCTCATGAGAGGATTTGCCAGTGGGTAACCAGCCCATGTAGAAAGTGTCTAATTGTTTACACGCCGTTGTGCTTTCGCAAAATTTATGTTGCTTCTAGGAGCAAGTAATTTTTTTTATACTCCTGATCCATTTCATTTCTTTTTTTCAGGGTCCACTGGGATAATCACTACAGTTGGTAATTAATGTTTTTCTGACATGTAAACAGTTCATACATGTACATTATTGATATTTAGATTATAGTCAAACATGACAGTACAAGTAATGTGTTATTAGAAGCTGATAACTGTTTCACCTGAGAGTCAAGAATTCAGAAGTCAGATTTTTAAATGAAGTAGTGGAAGTGTTTGCTTCATTGTCATTGGAGCTGTGAATCTGTTTCTATGTGTTTATAGAGCTGTCCAGAGTGCTGAACACAAGACAGGTTCAGGCTATTGGATAGCTCACTTAATGTTTGGATCAAATTCACCACTCCTGTGACATCTGAGTCAATAGCTCCACTGAAGCACAGCTCATGATGTTGCCCAGCAAAGCAATTGCTTTGCAAGACTAGAACATAGAAACGCTCAAGCTGTGACAAACAAATGTCTTTCCAGTCCTTTAGGCATCCATGATTCTACAATGCTCTACCTGTAGTATCCAGTTTGACCCTTAGATGTCTCTTTTGTAAATAATTAGATAAATCAGTTTATTCAAAGTAAATCTAAGCTCTTAGATGAGAACCTCCATCTGCCACCAAAGCTTCTCTGCTACCAAAACAGCAAGCATGCATCTGGTCTTCATTTTCTGATTTAGCACTCATTCTTGCTTCAGTTTTACATGCTATAAGACCAGCTGAGTTTTGTACCAAATTAGCTAAAGCAGCATCATGTCATAAGGCAGGACAGCACAATTATTCAGCAATGCTCTCTTCACTTTTAAGCAGAGTGGCAAGTCTTAATCCCACCCTTTAATGACTTCAACCAGTGACACAAAGTGAAGGCTACAAAGATAATATAATATGATGCAAGGATCCGGCCTTAGGCCTCATGCAGAGAACCTATTAAATGCATTTCTTGCATTCCATAGTGAGCTAGGCAAAAATAATACAGTGGTGCCTCGCTTAACGAGCACACCGTTAGGTTTTAGCGATTAGGTTTTAGCGATCGCAAATGCGATCACATACCGATGGCCCCTATGGGCAAAAATCGCTTTGCGAAGATTGGTAAGCGTTTCGCTTACCGATCTTTGCAAAGCAATGCTGTGGATCAGCTGTTTGGCGGCTCCAAAATGGCCGCCGGAAGCCCCGGAATGGCCACACGCAGTGTTTTTGCACCCTCCCCTCGCTTACCGAGGGCGCGAAAATGGCTGCCGCAATGGAGCAACCTCGCTGAATGGTGAGTTTTGCAGCCTATTGGAACGCATTAAACTAAGTTCCAATGGGCTTTTACGTTCCGTACAGCGATGTTTCACCATAGCGAAGGTTAATCCGGAACGGATTAACCTTCGCTATGCGAGGCACCACTGTACTAAAATCTGGCCTGCTCTCTCCACCCACTTGATATACCTACCTTGATTCCCAATGTCTTCATCCATTCACATGGGTGCCACATAATATCTAAATGCATCCTGCATTATATAAAACCACATGGATCTTGACCTGCTCTATATGAATGATCTCCCAGATAAAATTTTTGGAAAGAGGCAAGAGATTCTGTGGACATTTTTCCAGGGGTGGAGGAAAAGATGTACAGCAACTATGTTAGCACCTCCTGAGGTATTCTCAAAATCAACCAGTATTGTTGTAAGAATATTCATACACCTCTCCTGGTGCAAGAAGCTGGCTTCATGTACCAGCAGGAGGAGGCAACTGGAAATATTTGAAGTGTTGCTCAGCACTCTCGCGAAAGTAGGAATGCCATGTGTTTGCCAAGGCTTGGCTGTCTGCTTGCACTGGCACAGTTGATGGACAGATAAGATCTGTGCTAAAATCCTGATTAGGGAATACTCCTCTGCATGACATGTTGCTTTAAACCATGTTGCGAACAGAAAGCCTTTTAAGTGTTGTCTTCTATTTTTTTTTCATTTCTAGCCCCACCTGATGAAACATCTTCTTTTTTTTCATTTCTAGCCCCACCTGATGAAACACAATCGGATCCTGGTAATTTTTGTTATTGTTGCTCAGTGTATGGATGATCAAACTTTCCTTCTCTCAAAACATGCATTTTGTGAAGACTCTTCCAAGACACACAGCTTTGAGTGCATGTTTCAGATACATATATGGGAAATGTACATGCATACATGTGTGCATGCATGCATGCATGCATGCATGCATGCATGCATGCATGCATACATACATACATACATACATACATACATACATACATACATACATACATACATACATACATACATACATACATACATACATACATACATACATACATACATACATATGTGTGTGTAATTATGTCCTATCAAGTTGGAATCGACGTATAGTGATCCTAATAGGAATCAGGGGATATTTAAATTAAGTGAGATATTCAAGGAGTGGTTTTCTCAGTTCTACTCTCCCTGTGAGTTTGGCATAGTAAGTTACAAGTAGAGTAGGCTCAATACAATTAATGGAACTTATGGAGCAGTTGACTTACCAATCCTCACTAATTCAATGGGCCTACTCTAGTACAACTTACTATGCTAAGCAAAATGATTTCGGCTAGCTTGCAGGTCTTCAGTGCCTTCTTTTCAAAACAAGAACTCAGATTCATACCCAGCTAGAGACCAGTTTTTGCTACTAAAGCAGAGGTCCAGGAAGGAAATGGTTCCCCTGTGTAAAAGAACAGTGCTCTTACATGCAGTATATTACCAATGGCCCATATCATCAGTTTGTAATCTAACATCAGGTGCATATCCATGTGGCAGTCACTTGACTGAAACCAACAGTCCAGCTGAAGAGCAAACCAGTTAACACAACATATCTCCAATTAAGAAAGGACCCAAAAAGATCAATAGGACTACAGAATTGTGTTGTTTCTCTAAAATATGGGCAGAGAAGAAATGGCTCTCCAATTTAACTCTGACTCCCATCAGTCTTTGCCATTAGTAATGCTGACTGCAGCTGATGTGATTTGGACTCCAACAACATCAGAAGGATCCGAGCTGTCCTACCCTTTAATTAGAATTCCACCGACAGGATGCTGAATACCATGAAAATCAAAATAATGAAGTTGTAACATGCAACCATTAATTCACATGTGCCAAACTCAAGGCCTGTGGGCTGAATCCAGTCCACCGGGCTGTTTCATGTCACCCTTATATGCATGCTACTGTGTAGTATACAATACGCAGATGCTTACTTGGTCACCTATAATGCTCCACATAGCATAGGCATCCTTCAGTCTCGAGAGACTATGGTAACATGCTCTGAATCGAGGAGTGTCCTCTCCAGAGCATGAAGCCCAGGTAAGGTAATATGGAGGATAGGCTGTTACCCAAGCAGCAGATCCCCCCTCTCCACATTGCTGAAATGGTCCAATGGAAAGGCAAGAGCCAATACAACTGGTTCCAGCAATGTTGCAGGAGTTGGCAGAACGACACATGCTGCCTTCGGGACTCCAGCTCCGGATTTTGCCTCGAGGTTAACTCCTGAAGCCTTGCTGAGAATGCTCCACAAGGACGCTAGGAATCCACCCAGCGGCACTTCTAATCCCAGCATTCCAAGCAGCAAAGAGTCAGAAAGTGATAACTGAACGAGGAGGATTTTATTTAATATGATAAAGAGTAGATACATTTATATAGTCTTACAAATACAACTCTTTGTATAGTGGGCCTTTGAGGGCAACCATAATGCCGATGCGGCCCAAGAAGAAATGGAATTTTACACCTCTGCATTAATTCATTGTCTCGGTAACTTGCACCTTAAAGATGCAACCCTATGTCAATTGTCTTGGAAGTGAACCCCACTGAACCCTCAGCAACGTTTCTGAGTAGGATTGTACAGGAATTTAGCCTAGCTCCTTTATCTGCTACTTTGTGTTGAAGGCCACATACAAAAAGCCAAAAAAGGTAAAACTTATCCAATAAATCATTACAATTACAAAACAATATAATGTAATTTCAACTTAATCTAGGATACTTTGAGAATGGTTCTTTCAGCTGATGAACATATATGCATGGCAGCAAAATCTAATTAGTTTTATGTTCTTTGCTTCTACCCTCTGACAATGATTCTCTCTTTTCTTTGTCTAGTAAGCCTTTCATGTCTGCCACAATACATGAAGGCAGTTATTGAAAAAGAATATATTGCTTCAAAGGGCTGCTCTGAGTGCAGGCTGTATTTGAGTGACTCTACCAATGCACCTGTCATTACAAGACAGCATATTATATTCTATATTCCATATGATGACCGTGGGACGATACAGGAGGTAAGGAAGTATAGTCCTAATTGTAAGACATATCTTATAATTGGACTAGGTTTCTTCTTAATTTCAAAGATCACACATCCATGAAATTATTCCTCCTGAGACAAATCTACATACAGTCAGGCATTTTGGCTTTAAAAAGTAATATATGAGCAAGCCTTTTGGAGATGCAGGTCCTGTTTACATCATCAAGAGAACTAGTCACAAAGATTTCAATTAACCATAGTTTCCTGTTTCATTCAAACAGGGAAGCTATGCTTACCTAAAGAATTAGTGATTTGTTCCTCCCAAAAAAAGGAAAAGGATGTGTCTGTTTACCCACTACCCTCATGCAGTCCTTGACACATTAAGCCAAGATATGTTCAAAATGGCTGACAGAGCATATATAGTAGTGGAACATTCATAGAATCAAGTTAAGAGAGCAGTCATTCTGATACAAATTAATCATTAGAAAATTACTTTGTAATCAAAATTAATAATAGTGATCAGAACTGGGAAGCTTCTTGTTTCAAACACGTTAATTCTAACTACTGTAGTTCCCTTTTGCAAGAACAAAGGTATAACTAAATTAAATTAAAATTATGGAGCCAAAGACAGTTTTTTTGGAAAAACTAAGATTGGACAAGAAAAAAGAAAAACCCAAAGGCAATATATTATAGCTGTTTAAATAAATAAAAATTGTCACATCAATTCTAACGTATGGCAATCCTTTTCAGGATCTTCTAAGAAGTGATTTACCATTCCCTTCTTCTGGGGGCATCCTAGGACTATGCAACTTGCCCAAGGTCACGCAGGCTAGCTCTTATGGGATGCCCAGTGTAGAATTGAATTCCCAACTTTTGGCTCTGCAACCAAATACCTAACTCACCGAGCTATCCAGCCAACTTAGTCTGTAGCAGTTGACAGACTAACATATTCATTTCAAACTGAGGTTTCATGAACCAAAATCTATCTCTTCAGTTATGTGTCTTCAGACATGTATCTTGGACATGTGGGTTCTGATCCAAAGCTTATGCCAATACAAATTAGTCTTTAAAGAGCCAAAAGATTTTGTCCTGGTTTTTTCCTCCCCGAACACCCCCTTTCCCCCTTTAATTTCACTAACCTTCTGAGATAGACTGGCGTAGCTACTTATTTGGACAGTAGCATATATTACTTCAATAATACAGTCCCTCACCACAGCATCATGACTGGAGAGTGATGGTAAGATTCTTGCCTCAGATTTCATGTTGGAGCTGTCAGTGAGCAAAGCCAGCTCCCCTCCTGAACATAATATCTTTTGAGAGACAACATTTGCTGCCCTATTATAGATCAGTATTTCCTAAACTTTTTCAAGTTGCAACTCACTTTTATAATAGCCACGTAACCTGCAATCCACCACCACCACATTTGCACTAAAGAGGCATTTATAATGGAGCAAATTATTTTGAGAAGACAAACCTCTCTGGAAAAGACAGTAATGCTAGGAAAACACATTTGAACTAAAGAGGCATTTATAATGGAGTAAATTATTTTGAGAAGACAAACTTCTCTGAAAAAGACAGTAATGCTAGGAAAATAGGAAGATGGACCTTGAGATGGATTGACTCAATAGAGGGACCACAGCCTTTGTTACACAAGACTGCAGCAGGATTTTTGACTATAAGCCTGAGGGTTTGGGGAGATTGGGGAGGATTAATCCACAGGGCCCCCAAAAGTAGCAGAAATTTGACAGCACTTAACATTGCCACAAAATATCTACTGCCTGATTTTTTGGGGCAGGGGAATCTTCTTTTGTCCCCTTGACTGGGTTTGCAATTTGAACTCTGCCTGCTCCCACCCTACTCTCCAGTTTCCCTAGCCTCCCCTCCAGCCCAGATGGTATGGACTCAAAAACATCACTCAGGCACAACTAGGGAAGGAATCCCAGAGTCTGGAAGAGAGAGATAGTCCTTAGTGTGGAGAAAAGCCACTTTTCTCCAGAGGAAGAAAAAAGAGAGAGAGGAAGGGACTTTTTTGACTTTATACTCCACTCCACAGTCCCTCAGCTTCCTTCCATTCTAGGAAGCCAGCTCAGTGCCTTTAAACCTTGGTGAGAAAGTGAAGCAACTAGTAAACCATTGGATTTGTTACAGGCATACAGATAGAAACCTATGGTTTATTTAAGCCTGGAGAATCCCCCCCCAAAAAAAATACTTTGTGTCCCTCTTGGAGGTCATGATCCCCATGTTGGGAATTCATGCTTTAGATGCTGGAATCGCTGGGTCTGTCCGAAGCATTCTGGGCCCTCTTGCTTCAGCCTGGAACTGAATATAGCCATTCTACTGCTTTCTGGATCTTATGCAGATTGGTACAAATTGGACTAATTAAGTTCAAAGCTGATGCAGAATTCTAGAATGAAGTATCTTACATCATTTCAGATGCTCTTTCTGGGAGGCATGAAATTCCTCTCACAGCATCACCTATAATAAAACACACAATGTATTAACCTGGTTAGCTTGGACATTGAACCTTTCTTTTGCTGTGTAAAAATGTAACTCTAAAAAAAATATTTTAACAGAATGATGGACGGACTAGAAGCTTCACCAATACTGTCAAGAGCTTAGGAGGTGACATGCATCTTGAGTTTCGCTTCACCTGCATAATGGAGACAAGGCAAATGAAAGAAGTAACACACACCGTGAATGGGTTTGAATACAAGAAGCGACCAAGTAGACAATTACATCTGCAGTTTTTATTTTATGATTCACCTTCCTTTTTGCACCCATGGAATAATTTGCCCTATTTTATGGACATAAATGAGGGATCCCTTTTCGAAGTCACTCTTCAGAGCTTTTATCAAAACCTGATACTGTTCACAGACACATGTGTGGCTTCCCCTCGGGCTCATGACTTCACCACACAGGCATATATCCTAATAAAGAACGGGTAAGGAAATAAGCATAAGATATCAGTGTTTCTAAATAACATTCAAAAAGTTCAAATACAAACATTGTGATCATTGTTCAAGGTTTTGTTTTTGTTTGTCTTTTGTCCTTGGTATGCAAAAAACTTTTAGGTTTATTTGTGTCCCATTTCCCACCATAAAAAACTGCCTCTGGATTCTATCGCTCTGACCCCTTTGGTTCTTCGTCTATGAAGAGGGTCTCCATTTCCACATGTTCTCAGTGCAACTAATTCCTAGGCAGGTCTTTATGGCCATCCTGAGAACCAATGACTTCCATACAACCTGTCTCAGTTCATGAAAAGGTGAGAAGAGAGAGGTCCTTGAACTCAAAACCAACTGTCGGACCACACTTTCTTCGAATGGTGTTTGGCTGATTTAAACTTCTTCCTATACCTCATTGAGGGTCAGGCACCTTCTGTAACTTGTAAAAAAAATCTTATTTTGTCCTGATGTCTTGAAAGATATCCCATGGGTTTCTGTAGCAGTCAGAAATCTAAAAATATTTCTAAAATATTTTCTAAAACGAAAATCCTGTTCACAAATCCTTTCCCATCTTTCGTTTGTTCTGCCAATTTTATTATCCAGAGTGATAAGTTGTTTTTCATGGAGGAAGAAATTACTTGACAATAAGTGTTCGGGTTTGTTTGTTGCGTAGTATATTATGGCTAGTATAACACAATGTTAATCACTTGTTTTTATATAGCGCATATGACAAAAAGTTAATTGCTCATCTTGTTTTTTCTTTTAGCTGTGTTCAAGATCGTACCTACACCAGTTATTTCACACACAAGAGGAGGGCTCTGCATTTTAGTTTTAATCCCTCCAGGCTTTTCAGAAGATATTCAGCATTTTACCTACAGTGCAAAATGGTGGTGTGTCCTGCTCATGATTATTTTTCACGATGCTACCAAGGCTGCCTACCTAGGAACAAGAGGGAAGTAAGTTCAGAGGAAGCACATGCCCAAGTTCTTGGGCCACTTAAGCTTTCATAGCCTGAAGATGTGGACCCTAACATGTGAATTTAAAAAAAACAAACCCTCTCAAGTACATTGGGAAAATTTGTGTGTTGAATCACTTTGTGGCATTTCTCTGTTATCAAATTGCACAAATAAAGAGTCATCAAAGCAGACAGTTCCATAGAGACAATGGCACTGTCAAATGCTAAAATATAAGCTTTTCATCTTGCGTTCTCATTCCTCTTCTCTGGTGTATTTTGATTCTTATGAAAGATCTGTAAAATCTTTTATTTTTTGACATTGTTGCAATTAATTGGTTCAGTAACTTACCAAAACAAATAAAGCTAGCTGAAAAAACTTCTCAGAAAATTTTTCTCATATTACTTTTGTTACATGAATGTGACTTTCATCAGCTGTTGTCTCAGGTTCTTCTGACTGTGCCTCCCTGGGGAGATTTGCTGTATCCTGGTGATTTACTGATGTGGTAAATATCACTAGTTTTCATCCAAACATGGAGCAGTGAAAAGATATTTCCACTGTGAGCAGATACAGGTCATGATATTCACTTCACCAAGTCAAAAAATAGTGATCTCTCTCTCTCTCAAATTTCATTTGCAAAATTTAGAAAACATTTGGAGAGAACAAATATTCACAGAACTCAAAACAAATCAAGGTTATTACTAAGTCAATCCCATCAAATTCACCAACTGGTTTTGTAGAAGTTAACTTTTACAATTTAGATTGCAGTAGATGACAAGTAGAGATCAGATACACCTCGGAAAGGTACTTAAAAATTGAGAGGGGATACCAAGAATTAGCAGTCTATTCCTAAATATGCAAATCAATCAATGTGTCCCCTAACCATTATCAAAATCAATTAAATTGAATATTTTGGATTGAACCAAGATAGCCATGTAACAAATAGGGCCAGTAAGTGTAAAAACAAAATTGCAGACTGCAGCTAGTAGTTGCTTGAGAAGGACTTATGCATTAGATTTAAAAATAGTTAGATCATCTTTGTCTGCATGTTATACAGCCCTGTGTATATACCCTGAAATTAAGTTCCTTCTTGTTTAGTATGGCCTAGTCTAAGGTAAACACATATAAGACTCCAACTTAGAAGGAAGTAATACTAAACATAGTGGGATTTATTCTCACACAGATATGTATGGGACTGAAATATTAATTCTGTTGTAATTTGTTCCATTAAGTAGTCAGGCACTTGTATCTCAAGAATTATTGTGTATTTCAGAAACATGAAACACAGTTTTACAATATAGTTCTCTCACAGCTTTTACTTTCAAAGCTGAATAACTTCAAAAAGTCATTCGTCTTTCTAATAGTGCTGGGATTTTTCACATAAGAAAATAATAATAATAGCCATAAGACTTCATTACATTCCACAACATTGACAAACTATTTCATTTGCATGACTTTAAAATGAAAGTTGAGATTTCTGGTAGCAGTGTTCTCCCAGTACCATTTCCCCCCATATCTGATAGTCACAGAAACATGATTTTCCCCCCCCACATTGGCAAGAATCCACAGGTGATTACGCTGCCATAAGTGCAAAGAGGTAAACTACAGAGGTGAACAGCCATGCATTAATTAAGTCACTATTTGCATCCCCTGCCATATGCCAGTCATGTGATTTGGTGTGCAGTGAGTGATGCAAGTGGCAACTCAACAACTAGTGGCATTTCACTGCTTTATGCCATTGTGCTGCTGTTGGTATTAACTGAGCAGCAGGATTCTACCCGAGATACCACTGCCAGGGATTGGACCTGGGACTTCTGACATGCAAAACAGAAGTTACATTATTGAGCTGTGTTCCTTTTATCCCCATGTGTAGCTTTGCTCTTAATCATTTCAACAACCACCATGCTGTAGATAGATTTCCTCACCTCCTCCCAACTGAGACACCATAAAAGAGAATGCCATTCTAGTAGTATCTCAGTAGGTGAGTTGACTGTCTATTTTTTAGGGCACTGCTTATGTTTACACAGCTGTGCATATATTTTTTTAATCAAAAATCTTCTCACATTATGTACATCACCTTGATGCTCTGCTTGTGCTATACACGCAAGCATACGCGTAAGCATACATATACACACTGTTATCTACTGTACTGCAGCATAAAGCTTGGGTAACATGACAGCTGCAGCACTGGCAGATTCAGTGACTGCTGTAATTTTTAATGATGACTTTTCCTGTTGTAACAATATTTTTTTCCACTCCTGATATTCCTCCTGCTTTTAAATTTTTTTTTCTTGACATCAACAAACACCTGCACACAGTTTAGGTGCAGTTACTTGCATTAGTTACCCCTTCATTACTGGAAAAAGGAACCAAGTTATGATTGTAAAAAAACTCCTTTTGCCATGCAAATGTAATTTTCTTAAAGTAACTTTTATCATTATGGAGTTGCAGTCTTACTAAATGCTTAGCTCATGTGCTGGGTCATGCCATTAATGATTTATTTATTTTAAATCGTTTTGTTCTGCTTTTCTCCTTAAAAAAGACTCAAGGTGGCTTACATCATTACCATGTTGAGTTGTGTTACAGCAGTCTTCCAAAGGCAAGGGTGAGTGGTGCCTTTCTTAGACCACTAAAAATTAAAACCATACACTAGCTTCCAACCCCATATACATCTTCATCAAGCTGAGCACCTCAACACTGTAGGTAGTATAGAAAAAGATACAAAAGGTCCAAAAATCAAGGGCAAATGTGCTCTCCAGGCTGCTTGGTTAAAATTAGAGATGGAAGTTTTCGTATACGAATACCCCTGCACAGGTTTAATGAGGACATAAACTGGACATAACGAGGGTCCAGCCCCCAGGGGCTGGACTGTCCACTCACCGTCCACTCTTGCTGCAGGCTCTGTGTTCCCTTCCGATCACTCCAGAGCTTGCGGTCTGCAAGCCGGTCTTCGACCTTGCAGCGAGGCTCGTGAAGGAAATCTTTCATTTCAGGTGCTGTGGGAAAAGTCTTTCATTTTTAGTAGTTTTTATGCTCCACTCCTTTCATTTATCACAAAAAGTACTCCCTCTTTGGGTCCTTTTGTTCCCCACCCCAGTTTTATTTTCTGGTGCTAGTCCAAAAATACCTTAAAGAGCCTTTAAAAAGTACTTTTAAAAAGCTGAGGCAAGGAAGCAGAAAATCAGTCTATTCTAACTGCAGGCTACAAACCACCACTAAACAAAACTGTCAAAAAAATCCACACACACTTAAGAGAATAAATATATGCTAAATGAATAAATGACAAGTTTTTAAAAATCAGTCAAGCAGGGCAACACCAATACACACAGACAAACACACACACACACACAACACTGCACATACACACAGGATAATAAATATCAAAATAAAGTGTGTGTGCATGGAAACATATACACTACATAGCATATCCCAAACCAAAACTGCTAGAATGTTTGGAGATTTCTCTTCCTCCCCCCACCTTGATGCCTTCTGTTCTTTTTATTTTGAGTCGATCAGAGTAGCATGTAGCAAAAATAATCCAAAACAGCAAAGGACTAAGGTGGGTGATCCCCAAAAGAAATTTAAAAATAATGCCAATATGGCATACTGTCACAGACAAGTTGCCTGGTGGCAGCAGCGACAATCATCTAAAGGAAAAGGGAAACACACACACACACCCAAACAAGGAAAAGATACAAGAAGACAGAGGCACAGAGCATGTATCCAGGAAGGCAGACAGGCAGGACGAGATGGAGAGTGCCACCAGCTTGTATACCCATAAGGAAAAAGTGAAACAAAGAAGGAGCATTTGCGCAAGGTTCCAGACATTTCATGTACTTTAACAGATTCAAAATGCCCACTTTGGATATTCTGATTGGCTGCTGGCCACAGTCCATGCAGTGCTATTGGATGGACATTTTTGTGGGTGATTGAAAAACAAAGGATGAAAGAAAGGTTAAACAAATGAGGGAATATCGAAGAACACAAACAAAGAAGGAACACAAGCACCTTTCGTTTTTTTCTTTATTGTTAAAACTTGAAAATTCTGTCAGTCGTTATTGCCATTATTGTTACTATTTATTATAATTATAGCAATTATTTTGTGGGACCCTTGGAACTGTAACTTAAATGATTATCTTTAAAAATTAACTTGAAGGGTAATTTTGATTCTTGCAAAGTCCTTGTCACTTGTGCATAAAAAGTGCCATGCTAACCTATAGCCAAAAGTATTGTAAGCAGTACTGTAGAAATTTCCTTTCCCCATGTGTGAGAACCCTACAAATATTATGCCATTTATATGGAGGCTTGCACTGACGAAAGCATATTTCACTTCATTGGAAAATCTGTGGTCATTTATCTGTGCCACCGTGACACATGCCCTAGTTACTTCCCATCTGGATTACTGTAATGTGCTTGTGGCGCTCGCCCTTGTGGCCCCTGTTTTATTTCGTCCTCACAAAGGCTCACGCTCCTTCCTCCTCTTCACGCTGCCACCAGATGTTATTTGTTTAACATCAGTCAAGTACTGGACACTTATCCTGCCAAATACAATCGTTTATTGAACAGGGTGGGGTTAATAATCAGTTGGAAATTGCAGTATAAATCACAAGAAGCGAATCACATAGTAATAAACAAGGTTTATTTCATTCAAATCACTCTTTTAACTCTCTCTACCAATCTCTGACCCTCCTGGTCCAATTCCCAAGCCTCCAGCTCTTTAACCCTTGTTCCAGCATTCCTCTCCTTCTTCCCAACTCCTCCAACTCCTCTCTGGCCCCGCCTTCCGGTCTCTCTATTGGCTCTCCCGTCAAGGTTCCGCAGTGATGGACAGTTGACGTCTGGGCTATCCGCTACAGTGCTCAATGTGGGGCTGCCAATAGAAAGTGTCAGGAAAATTCAGCAGGTCCAAAATACAGCAGCCAAATTGCTGATTGGTGCTGGTTACAAGGATCACATGATCTCTCTGGTACAGCAACTCCATTGGGTGCCAATCAGTTACCAGGCACAGTTCAAAGTGCTGGTTTTAACTTACTAAGCCTTAAATGGCCTCGATCTGTATCTCCCACTATGAGCCAACTTGAGTATTAAGATCATCAGGAGAGGCGCATCTCTCAGCCTCAAAACCTTCACAGGTGTGTCTGATGGAGACACAGGAGAGGGCCTTCTATGTTCCTGCTCCTAGACTTTGGAACTCCCTCCCACAGGAAGCCAGACTGGCCCATCTTTGCTGTCCTTCTGAAAGCAAAGACCTTTCTCTTCAAGCAAGTGTTTCAACAGTAACTAGCTATCTCTGTGTGATTTTTTTAAAGATGGATTTTTATGCATTACTGCTTTGATTGGATTTTTACTACTACTTGTGTTTTCTGTTTTTGTATTTTCCATTCTTCAGAGTGGCATTTTTTTTTAAAAAAATGTATAATTATTTTCAGCTCTAATATTGTCTTTTAATGATGTAAGATGCTTTTTAACTCATTGTTCTTAGCTTTAAATGTTATCTTTTAATGATGTTAGCCACCATTGCACACTCATTGTTTCCAACTTCAAATATTGTATTTCAGTGTTGTAAGCCACCTTGGATCTTTTTCAAGGAGAAAGGTGGGGTAGAAATATTTTAAATAAAATAAAATAAATAAATAAATAATAGAGACAAAAAACAATTATTTCAAAGAACTGTAAGTACTACAAAAATAGGACATGGTGGTGGTGAGTGCCAAATTTCTTTGTGAAGAAGGGATGCGAAATGGAGGTCAATTGCATAATTCCAGAGGTGGGTTATGTGCAAGCTTCCAGATGTTGTTAGACTGCAGTTCCCAGTATTCCACATTATTTAAGGCAGGTGTTCTTCAGTACACATATGAAGTTCTCTGCATTCATAATCTTCTCTTTGTAACTTTCAATGCATTCATGTGAAAGAATATAAAACACACACATTAAAACCAGTTTCAAACAATAGAGTCCAATACTGGGGGAAAAAAACAGAAAAGCTGGCTGGGGGGTTTGCTGGCTGATGAACTGTAGAGCTGTAGTCCAAAAGGAAATTTATGTAAGATCTAGGAGAACATTTTGTTACTGGACTGCCACAACAGAAAAGAGCACCTGGAACAAATCGATATTATGGCACCAGACAGAACCGTCCATATAAGAGGCCTTCAAAGACATAACCTTATCCTAAAGCCATTTTCACACCAGTACAGTATTTAATCTGTGGAACTTGGGTCACTTGTAGACTTTAGTTTATCAGAACAAACATTAAAAACTAGCCTTCTGAATTTTGAATTGCAGCACTCAACAAATATACATCACATACAGAATAGCACGCAAAACCACCTGTGACTTTCTCACCTGTATCTCTCCCTCATAGCAGAGAAGAAATATCCAAAGATTATGCAAATTAAGACAAAACCATGTGAACAGGGACAATTACACTGTGGGTAGAAATATAAAAGGGTCAGAAAATGTGATGATTTCACATTCTCCAAAATGAAAGCTTCCAGACAATGCATTTTCTTGGCAGTTTTCTTTGGCTGGACTCTTGCTGAAAATAAACTGGTAACATTTCAAGGTATGGAATATGAGAGTAAAATTCTTAAAAGAATTGAAAGCCACGTACCACTGCTTTTCCATCAGAGTAAGATGTTTGCATATAAGTACAGTTTGGAAGGATTACGTCCTAAACTATTGTAAAAAGAGTAATTGATAAACAAATATCCAATTGTGTAGCTCTTCTATATATGAAAATTTGATGTTTATTTGAGATTGGTGAAATTCTATTTCTGCATTTTTACACAGGGTCAGTTATTTCCATGTTTCAAAAAAACAAAGGAAATTAGTAAGCAGACCACAGCTGTACCATCCAAACACAGCTTATACAATGCTTGCCTGCCATAATCTATATACTGCTATTATGTTCTCTAGTCCAGTGGTCCCCAAACGTGGGCCTCCATATGTCCTTGGACTTCAACTCCCAGAAATCCTGGCCAGCAGATGTGGTGGTGAAGGCTTCTGGGAATTGTAGTCCAAGCACATCTGGAGGCCCAAGGTTGGGGACCACTGCTCTAGTCTATGACAATGTTAATGTATGTAATTGAATGCATGATTGCTTGAAAGTTACCTGAGCCGTTACTAGCGAATGGTCTCTCAATCTTGTAGAGCAAAATTCTTTCATATAATCCTACCCAAATAAAGCAATTATTATGGATATTTTTTAAATTAAAAAGAAAACACAGGCAAATGTGGAAGCAGAGAGACAAGAGAGTATGCAGCATTACCAATTCAAGTGAATGCAGATGTGAGCTGTATCTGGTATATAAAGAGAGAGGCAAATGGAGCTGGGATGAGCCAAGAAATTCGGCTAATCTTCTCTTCTTTCGAGTGAGTATTCTTTAAATGAATTGCAAACAAAGCATATGTTAGGAAGTAATTCTCAAGGAAAAACCCTGAGGTACAAAGGAAAATTCATTATGTAAACCGTCCTCAAAGTTTATATTGAAATAGTTAAGAGATTTGAACATGTGTGCTTAGAAATAACTGATTTAGGAATCCAACTGGAGATTAAAAAGTATGAAAGTTAAAGAAAAATGGGTTGATTTTAATAGTGCTAGATTTGTTAGTGTACAAAAAGGTATTTTCAGCAACTGTACTGTATTACTGACACAGTTTGGGACCTTTTAAATCGTTATAGGCTATGCAGTCACAAATACAGAACACCAGGTGGAAGTGAAACTTTTCCGCATTAATTCTGCAGAATTTTTCATTGTATCTCATACAACTGAACTGGCTAGATAGCTCAGTGGTTTAGGTATCTGACTGTGGAGCCAGAGGATGGGAGTTTGATTCCCCCACTGTGCCTCTTGCAAAGATTGAAAGGTAGATATGACATAAACACAGTGCATGGAGCTGCACTTTTTCCCATTCAAACATTCACGTGATACCTTAACTTCCATATCTGAAGTATGAATAATGCATGGTTGTACCACATACCAGAATTAGACAATAAGATCTTAGGGTGTCAGTGTACAAAATCCTGTTGCTTAAATTATGCAGGTATAAGGGAGATAATGTTACTGAGGGTGTCTCATTGTCACGAATTCTTGCTTTTTGTAGGAGAAAATTATCAGCCACACAAGCCAGGAATTTCTTGGAAGGGCCATACTTGGCAGAATTTGCCTCCCAACAAATTCTGGACAGTATCTGGATAATTGAAATCTCCCTACTACGTTGTGTCTGTTTGAAAACCCTGCAATTTGTTTTTCAAATGTTTAATCTGCTTATTCTCTTTGTTTGGGTGATCAGTAGTAGACTCCAACTACCAAGTTCCTTTTGTTTTTTTAGATTGATCCAGATGCTCTCAATAGGACAGCTAATCTCCTCCTCCTGTATTTCTGTGTAGGAATACAAATTTTTGACATATACTGCAACTCCACCTCCCTTTTTATTCTCTCTGTTCTTTTTGATCAGTTTATATCCCTCAATTGCTGTATTCCAGTCATGAGAGTCGTCCCAAGTTTCAGTTATTCCTATCAGGTCATACTTAGCCTCCAGAATTAAAATTTCCAGTTTTTCTTGTTTGTTTCACACACTCATGGCATTTGTATACAGAGGTTGTGTGATTTGTGGCCTGTTTATCTTTGTACATTTTTATGAATATTATGATGATAATGATTGTTATGATTATTGTTGTGATTATTATTGTTAATGCCCTTTTGATCAGTTTGGTCCATTCCTCTTATTGTGTGCAAGGCTTCATCCAATTCAGTTTAAAGCCCTCCTGATGAAGTTCTTCATGTTGTGGGCAAACATGTTCTTCCCAGTCCTTGTTAGATGCAAGCCATCTCTTGCTAGCAGTCCTTCTTCCAGGAAGTTTAGCCCATGGTCCCAAAAACCAAATCCCTCTTGTCAACACCTTCATAACCAATCATTCACCCAGAGGATCCTCCTTTCTCTTTCGATTCCTCTTCCGAGCACCGGTAGGATGGATGAAAAAACTATCTGGGTCCCAAAGTTCTTGAGTTTCCTTCCCAGAACTTCAAAGTCAGGCGTGATTTCTTGGTAGCTCCCCTTGGTTGTGTCGTTTGTTCCCACATAGACAAGAAGAAAGGAATGTGTTTCTGTAGGTTCTATGAGTGATGGCCATCCTTCCATTACATCCTTTATCTGTCCTCCAGAGAGACAGCATACCTGACATGGATTCTTCCCTGCATATTTCAGTCTCTATTCCACATAGCAGGGAGTCCCTTACTACAACTACTCTCCTCTTCTTATTTTTGTAGGGTGTGAGTTCAGTGACTGTATTCTGCTGCACTTCAGTCCTACTCATGTCCTCCTGTGGGGTCTCCTCTGTGTCCTATCTGACGGACTCTTCTTCAAGTAACTGAAAAGGATTTTGTAGTTCCACCAGGGAAGAGTGTCTTCTCCTTCTTTTGCTCCTGTGATTCTTTTCCATGGTGGTTCCTCCACTATATTTGTAGTCTCTACAGCATTTTCCTCCACTGCAATGTTCTGGTTTTCTTCCATCAGCAGTGCCCCCTCTGACAGCTGCTGGTGCTCAAGAGTTCTATCAATGTGAGCTTCACCTTCCCTTATAACCTTGAGTGTGGCTACTCACTGCTCCAGGTCTCTGATTTTCTCTTCTAACAGTGCCACAAGTTTACACTTGTTACATGTATACAACATTTTACACTCAGGAAATAATGTACCTGGAAATAAATCCTATGAAACTAAAGGGGGGTTGCCTTTGAATACATGCATGTAGGATTGCACTGTAACACATAATTTTATCAATGAAAGTTAGATCCATTGGTTTAATGGAACATGCAATAACAAATAGGGTCTTTTTCCTCCTAGATTTAATCCCTCATCTGAATGCCACAGAGAAAATATTGAAGTATATGATGGCCCGACAATTTTTTCACGTTTTCTAGGACGAGTATGCAACAGCCATGAATCAGTTCCGGTATTTCATGCAACATCTGGAGCCTTAACATTCCGCATTACAACTGATTCCACAGATTTTGTACGCAACATCTTTGCATTTTATTATTATATTACACCAGACTCATGTAAGTAATCGCAAGATAAACTTCCTTAAGGGAAGAGAAGTCACAATTGTACTCATGGGTCATAGTTGTAGAAACAATTGAAAATTACTTTAATGCTCACCAGAGTTTATATATTAAACAGAACTGTTTAAGAAATTATAAACAACAGCATTGGAAATTGAAGTGTGGGGGAACTTCATAGCTGTTTCAATGGTTTTTACATTCTGCAATTGCAAGTTGAAAGAATTTTAGTGATTGTGTGTCAGCTCCAGCTTTCTTAAACTAACATTCATTCTAAGCATAATTGCTGGTACATACCTGAGACCATTGATCCTTATGGGAGGCTGCTGAGTGTGCACAATTTACTGTTTGGAATGCTATTGTTTTGCAGCATGTTAAGCAGCTGATGACAAGATGGAACAAATTTATCCTCTCATTCTATTCATCTCGTACAGAAGCTTGTACCCTTAGAGTCGAAAAGGAGGATGCTGAAGGCATGGTCTCTAGGCAGGCTTATGGGAGGGTGATGAGTAGAGAGTGCAAGTAAACCATTTTGAGAAATCAGTAATCAATTGCAATTCCTGTTTTTGCTAATTAAGTTAGCCTTTCTTAAACTTGTGTTCTCTTAAAGCTAACATTAAGGGTTGCGGAGGTTACCTTACTGGTCCAGATGGATCATTCACCAGCCCCAACTACCCCCTGTCACATCCAGAATTTGCATATTGTGTCTGGTACATAGAGACAGAAAAACATTCCACGATACATTTAACCTTCAGTGACATTTTGTGAGTATATTTTAGCTTATGCATCTTTTCACATTTCAGACAACTTCAGTTTTTGAATAATATTGCCCAGGTCAACAAGGCATCAAAGAAGTTCTTTGATCTTGTTATTAAAAATGTATAGTGTTACATGATGAGATTCCAAACCGCTAAAGTCAGAAAGAGATAAAATAGAATTTCAGCAAATGGATCTCAAAATGCTTTTGAAGGGTTTTATAACAAAGTGAACAGCAGGCGGAGCTATCCACCTCTGCTCTTCTGACATCAGGAATACCTTGCTGGTGTTCCTGTCAGAGACGCCATCAGACTTCAGGAACACTCTCCCCTCAGCTGCCTTTTGCTCTCCTCCCAGTTGGTGGTGACAGTGACACTCCTTCTCATGGTATTAATGGTCCAAAGCAAAACTTAACTTCAGCAGAACATTTTTCTTCCGGGTTGCAACAAGAGACCAAAAGGTTAAATTCTCCTTCCACATCTATGATTCCAATAATTATCATCCCCCCCTCCAGAAGATGCTGCTTGCACTCTCAGAAAAGGTGTATACTAAATGCAAAGGCGTATTTAACATCCCATGCAGTTTTGTCTTCCAAAACAGTGGAACTGAAGAGAATCCAGAGAGTGCTCTTAAGATTTCTGAACTAATTTCTGAAATGCATTTAAGAACAACAGTTGCATGGTAGTTGCCATCGTATGCTCTCCTCATATCCAAAGATCTTTTCAACATAAGACCCATTGAACAACAGGGCTTTAGACTGTTTTTCACGAACTTAGCAATTTGCTATTGTATGAAAATGCACAAAACATTTGTAATATGATTATCTAAACCAAACCAACTTTTAGATGAACTAGTATAGGGCAGTTTGTAAGCATTAAATAATTCTAGTCACAGAAGAGGCCATGTTTTCAAGAAGAGCCTCACTGATTTCACTTCATTGTAGAATCAAGATGCAGGGTGAAGCGGGGGGTAAGGATACGATCCTAGCCACTGCTCATCCCCTTCTATGAAATGGAGGATAATCATCTATAGTGAAAAGTCTTCTATTTCTCTAGGTTCCATATGTGAACCAGAACCCAGATTTTACAAACTTCTATGCCACGTAGTTTGGGAACTTCCACAAATACAGAAGGCTCCAAACATGTGCCTCCAACTTGCATGAGGAAAATGGAAGAACATGTTTGGAGCCTTCTGTATTTACGGAAGTTCCCAAACTACATGGTATGAGCAAAATTTGCATGAGCAAAATGGAGCTATGCTACTCATACCTGATTTCATGAACTGATTCCATAAACAAGGAGAATGCTTAAATTCCTAGGAATAGGAAAACCTGGATTCAGAGTCCTGCTCTGTTGGAAAAAATGACCAGGTGATCTTGAACCAGTCAGTCATTTTCAGAATGAAGTGCATTACTGTGTCATCCTGGACGAAGGATGAGGTCCAGAAAGTAACTTTTAACATGTCTGCACTTATTGTTATGATTACAATATTTATACACTTTTAATCATGCAGTTATTGGAAGAAAGACAAATATTATATTTGTGTGTTTTCAAAACACCTATACTGTAATAATATTTTTTGTTTGTTTGTTTGTTTGCAGTCTAGAAATGGATGATAAATGCAGGTTTGATTTTCTTGCCATCTATGATGGTCCAACAACGTCCTCTGGTTTAATTAAACAAGTGTGTGGCCTTCAGCCCCAAACATTTGAATCTTCTTCCAACGTGATGACTGTTGCACTGTCTACAGACTATGCCAATTCATACAGGGGCTTTTCTGCCAGCTATAGAAGTATACCAATATCACAGCCTAACAGTAAGTCTTATTTCACTAGCATGATATTTGGCAACTGTCTGCATGTATAGAAACTAAAATCAGTTACATGGAAGAACTACCAATGATTTGAACAAGGTAATATGCTTTAAAAAAAAACTGTACAGAATAATCCACTACATCTTACCTAGCCTCTAAAACATGGAAAGGTGTTTGCCCAGATCACCAGTGACATGGTCCCTCCAATTTGGAGCGTCACAGAGCTCTGTCCACATATACCATGGATACCTAACCATTTAAGGATTGTTTCTTCTTGAAATCAAAGGCATGGACCTGCGGTATGAGTACAGGTATTTATGTTCTAGTAAGACCTATGTGTGACTCTTTGTGACCACATGGACCAGAGC